ACCCATACCGTTAGTGACTTCAAGCCAGTGAACGTGTCACTCCCAAGGTAGGTGGTCCGTTGGACAATGCCAAGCGAGGGAGGCCCATTTGTGATTTTTGAAGGGAATTAGTATTTCTTGAATATGGCATTATGTTTCTGAAAGACATGGGAAGAGAAACTTTGGAATATTTCGAAGAACTTAGAAAATTTCTGCTATTCTTTGCTCCCTTCCCTCTACTTCATGGACTTTTAGGGGAAAGCATGGAACGTAAAATCAGAAGTAAGGCTGTTCGCGTCACTAGGATCTTGCCATCATTGGGAGCCACCACAGGAAGGAACGAAGGGGTGAAGGAGTTCATACTGAAGCCAAATATCAGAGACTAGAGGAAACGGCCCTAAAATGAAATCCTGGTTTTTCCCGCTGATTTTCGCGTTGGTCGAGTCTCATCGATGCTGAAGTATCAACGCGAACGCTCGGTCTGCCGCTCTGCTAAAACAGCTAGAATCTGACGAAAATGAGCAGTGGGGTAGGAAATGGGGGGATCATGGACACAGCGAAGGAAATTCACCGCCGTGGGTAGGGCCCTCTCAGGCCGCTACGAGCGTACCAAAACGCGTCTCTGATGTTGTCGGCAGCCGTAGAATTAGAAGGTTTATTGAGTAGAACAACACCATTTGAATATACTCACTTCACATGTCTATAAGAGGGGAGATGTTTTCGACTTCACTCGAAAACAAGTGATGCTGGAAGGTATCATTTATTGTTCGTCCACAACAGTCTCGTTCCACCTAATAAGAAACCTGCCGCCCTTCTTCGACCTTCAGTTTATCGTACCATCTGCCTTCAAGGCCCATCTAGGAGGGGCAAGTAGTGATCGCCATCTGCGAGTGAATTGCTGACTCTTTTTGTGGTCATTATCACTTCCTGTTCTTTCATCGTCTGGTCTCTCATCCGGGCCTGGTTTCTTCATCCTAAACTCGTAGATAGCTGTAAAATGACAGTTTTTGCTTTTCGTGCGGCAGTTTCTTTTGTAATCTTCTCTAGCAGGCCAACTCTAGTCAGGCCATTACTTTCACTTTTGAACCCCAATGCTCATGTAAATGTTCGTGAAAACCAGTACACTAGTTCTGGTTGAATAGTGATCTCTACATGTGTATGGCGTGGATTCTCTAACCTTTTTAGTTGGCTCCTTCTACAAAACTTATTCTGCCAGAGTCAGACGAACTCCTTTCGACATGGATTTTGCATCCGTCCTTGAAATGACGGCCCTAGACTGGGTGCTTCTAGCTCTGCTAGTTGTGTTGTTTTGGAGATGGTTGAGAAGGCGCGGAGAACCAGAGGTCACACAGCCGAAACCTCCTACAGTGTGTTTTTACAGTTTAGTTACTTCATGTTGCTCGTATAAATTTGACTGGCTCGAATGTCGACGTCCCGAAGTTCCAATCAATAAGGCTCATTTCCTCACATATTAAGGTCGCTTTCCTGTGATAGACTATTACATACCATGCCCTTCGCTTCGAAGAACCGTCGCGACGACTGAATTCATCAATATCATAGTGACATTGAATATTGGCCTCAAAAGGAAGGGGATCTAACTACATTTCACTTTGTATAATTAGTGCATTATGTCAGCAACAGAAAAGTAAGTGACGACTGGATTGGTAGAGCTTGTTTTAATGGTAGAAGAATAGGTGCGAAATGGGTTGGGGGGACCACCTGGCGTCGCGGCACTCTGCTACCTGGCGCTCTCTCGAGCGAGATAGTGTAAACTCGAACATTCCAGCTTTTCACACAATGCCAAGTGATTGTCATCATCCACCTCTAAACTGTTTACGCGTTCTCTTGGCCCCAAGGATTCCTCGGATGATGGCTAAATGTTCTGAAGTTACCAGGCGAACAGAATGCTGCGCCGCCGCGTGGTCCCCCTCGTCCTAAGCCCACAAAAATATGGGTCAAAAAAAAGAAATTGGGATCCGTTCCAGCAATGGCGACGAAATGATTGAAGCGTTCTATCGCAAGTGTAATTTTTAGGTCAAGCCTCTACCGAAACAAGACATGACACTACAAGAGCTTCGTAAATACGATGGAGTCCAGGATGAACACATACTTTTTGCATTGAATGGGACGGTTAGTTCTTGATCATTCAGCTCCACTATACAATGATTTTGTTGTTTTGAATTGAGGAGATCGCGTTTTACACCTGAACACATCTTTACCATTTGCTATAGATCTACGACGTCTCACGCGGTCGCAACTTCTATGGTCCAGGTGGTCCATATGGTGCCCTAGCGGGAAGGGATGCAACGAGAGCTTTATCCACGATGGATGTGAAGGATGTAAGGGATGAGTGGGACGACCACGAAGGTTTAACCACCGATGAGAGAGTGTGTTTCTATTTCATTCGTCTCAGACTTGCATATAAATGTGTACTGAAATCAGAATAAAATAATCTGATCATCAGGAAACCGCTAATGAATGGGAAGCTTCGTTCAAATACAAATATCCAACTGTTGGTAAACTCATCAAGGACGGTGAAGTTCGTGTTGATTACGCTGGTGCGATATCTTCAACGCAGAATTGAGGGGCGTTCCAATTTTTTTCCTCGCTGTCAACACCGGTGCAGATCCGCTGAGTTTACCGGTGCGTTGTTGAATTGTAATACTGTCCAGCTATTTTTTGGTTGTGTTTTATGTTGCCCAATTTGTAACAGGTATTTATACGTTTTTATTTTAATAAATCATTTATGTATTGTCTTCGGTACCAGGGATTTCCAACGTTTTTCGTCGAATGATTATTTTTACTTCGGTGTTTGTGAATCTATGGAAGTCGCAGAAAAGTATAACAGCGTTGCGCTATACACAGCATCTCGAGAGCATCAAGAAGGTAGGCGCGGTATCGATTCAATCCACAATATGCCGTTTGGTCTGCATTTGCGACAATTCCTGCCGTGGGAACAAAGTACGCTTGTGGCACGGTTTTGGGACGTTGTAGAGCACGTGGTTGAAAGATCTGTGCGCGCGTATTAGTGGTGTGCATGTTTTGAGCATGCTCGTTTCTTGGTTCGCAGGTTCTTCAGCTAATTTTAAATTTACAAAAAAGCGAGTTTTTTTTCAAATTGTTGTTTGCACTGGATCAAAATAATTTGTTTTTCTGAAAGTTGCCCATTTGTGTATCTGAGGAAGGAGGTGACTTTTCATAGTGATATGGAGGCGCAGAGTGTGTTTCTGGTGCATTTCGATTAACATTAGAGCTCTGTGTAGTGCCAGCCGACATTCTGCTGCACAAGTAAGCAATTCTTGACTGTTGAAAGAGGATCTGCCAAAGTCCGGTAGGCAGCAGTCAAAGGCTGCGATACCACACCACGTGATGGGAGATATTGCAAGTTATGACGGCGGCTTCACATTCCAATAGTGACTATTCTGAACAAAACTGTTGCCATTTTAACTGAAGAGAATTATATTAGATCGCTGATGGCGTTCATGTATCCATTCCACGCACCAGCCCCTCCCTACAAAGTGGGATGATCCAGTATGGTTGCATGAAGTATGTCCATCGATGGAGCACGCTTTGTTAGCGACACTCGAACAAAAAAGGATCACTCAGGTTAGGAATTTTTTCCAGTGTAGAATGAAATTGTTCCAATCAAGTCGTCCTGTTGAATTAGTGTCGTTGAACTTCGCCGCCCCCCCCCCCCCCAAAACAAAAAAAAACACACAGAAAAGAGAGGACGGGGAAAGAAAGGAGGATGAAGTAAAGAAAGTGTGAAGTTGCGTTTCGGTGACTATCGTTCTTAGGATGTGTGGTCCCTAAACCTGTATTTGGGAGGGGGAAGGAACTCCGGAGAAACGGGAATTTCTCTCCCGGAATCCCTCTCCGTATGCTTAGGTGACTCCTAAAATTCTGCAATACAGTGACACGGACCCCATGTTGCACCTCCCCTCTCCCAAGGGACATAGCGCCAAATATGAGTGTGTCATTGAAAGGGCTTGCTTGTTCGGACACAGTTCAACCTTTTGGAGTTTGCAACCCCAAAACCTCATACTTTTATTCTTCTTATGAAATTTGCTCCAAGGTAGGCTACATGTTGGTAGAGATGTTCTACTCAATTAAGATGTTTTGATTCTGGAGCTTGATTTCCGATAATAAATATCGAATAATTAGTGTACCTGATTACAGACATAACATTTATTTTTGGCGGTGGCGAGTTGCGGTTTAGTCTTTTTCAGGGTGTTCCTACCAAATTCGTAAACTTGCATGTAGAAGTTACTAAAACATTGGCGGCACAGCCTGTTTTGGGTTTCTCGAACGCGTAGGACAAGCAGGATTTCGATTTCTCAAGACTGGTGCCTCACCTCGCATACCTGGATTTTGACCAATGATTTTACAATATCAATGGCTGAAAAACAAGCATCTTAGATGCGACTGAGTTATCCGTGACACAATAATAGGATTTCTGCCAAAAAAGCGTGTAACGGCAATGGAAATAGTTAGTAAAATTGCGGCAAGCCTGTTTTGCTTTCCTCGAGAAGCGGTGGACCAAGCATGATTATCTCAAGTACAGGGTGTCCCATAAATATTGCACCACATTTTGAACTTCAATTCTGTGGGCGTTTATAGTTTTCCATCCGAGATTGGTAGACATTTTAATCCTCTAACCTCTTGTGATTTACCACGCCAAATTGCACGCCTTACCGTTCTACTTACATCTCATCGCGCGCATAAACCTCAACAGAGTGCCAAATCCTTCGCGCAGCTAGGTCCGACGAACGGTAATAAATATCGTACATCTTTGTAATCTTAACCGCTCCGCGACCTATCACGCACCGAAGAGAAGAATCATAAATGTAGGTTCCAATGCGGCCGCCCCTTATGTTCTGCTATCTTGGATTACAGGTAAAGCATGAAGAAGCGGATCGACTACCATATCGAAGTTCGCTTGAGAAAGCCGACCAGAACGCTGAAGTGTTTGAGCACAATCATGTGAAGAGTGGTCAAGCAACAACTGCTTACACAGCATTATAGGCTGCACAAGCGCCACTGCTCTATCGAACCAGGGAAGCGCCGCAGATACAACGCTGGTGTCGAGGGCCGAAAATGGTGATTACGAGGGCACCGTTTTCATCGGCGACAAAATTCCTCTCATGGAGCGGAGCTACAATCTCCAAAATTTGGGGATACTCGCATGAGGTCTTAAGGCTGCCAAAGAAAGAGAGAGGAATATTCTTCAGAAGTAGCAACCAATTCCTGTCGCGGTCTAGTCAGAGGTCTCAAGTACCGGTCGCTCACGACCACTGCCTCTTCAAAAAGGAACACAACTCGATGCCAGACCAACCTGAGGGACATCTTTGTGCATCATCTGTTACTAAGGTATCTAGCCACTTTGAGGGGAGAATGATGTTTTTTCCAATCGAACCCAGCTTCTGCAGAGGAGGCAAAAATTGTTCAGAAGCGGTTTCAAGCTACTCCTTACAATTTCATATCCTCAAAGGAACGGCCCCCTTCTTCCTTGATTCCAACGTGCTGATCCAACCTATGTGGGCTGTATTAAGGGACAGAACCTGCTCCCAACATGGCACTCACATCGATCAACCGGAGCCTCTTTACAGCTAACTTTCGAAGGGAGAACCCCAGAATGCTACGCGGGCCGCAGTAGTGTTGCTTTCGAAGCAATCGGGAGCCATAATCACAGCAACAGGGGGTCATGTCTAATAAACATCACTCCTTCAAATATGTAAATGTATGGCTAAGAATTGTGTATAAGCTCTTGAAGATACATACGTTTTGAGAGAAGTTACACTCAAAGAAAAGTGGTGCAATATTTATGGGACACCCTGTATGATTGGGATTGGACACTGTTTACTAATCTCTCATTACAGTAGACATTGAACGAATTCTTGGCGTAGTTCTGTATCCACTTCCACTACCTTTTCAAATCACACTTCTCTACAAATAAAAACAGAGTTACGAATCAACCAAATGGGAATTTTTTCTATGGTTCAGGAAACCTCTTCCAAACTAAAGCATATTTAACCAATTTGGTGGACGGTGATGTATATGTCATGGCGATCAATAGAATAATCATGAACAACAGGAAGAAAAGAGTGAAGTGAAGCATGAGGGGAAGATGGTGGCATCGATGCGACTCGCTAACGGCTCGCATCGTCCCACGAAGCGCCCCTTGTGCGACCAGCTTTCAGTGTCGTCAAAGTGTTGAGTGCCGTGATCACGAACACGACATTAAATTTGGTGTAAGCGTCGTTTGGCACAATTTTAGTGCAATTTGGCACAATGTCGGACTGGGGGTGTGGCTCGCGAAGAAAGCGACTGTTCGTTTTTCGTCGCGCGAAATTTTTCGCTATGATAACCTCAGATCCACGCTTTATCGGTGGTGGATGTAAGGTTCCCGCAGCGAAAATGTACAGTCGATATCCGAAAGTTGGGGTGGGTGTGTCACCGGAAGTGACGTGCACTTGATAGAAGTTGCGTGGATAAGCTGTTGCCAGCATGCTGCTGATATCAAGAGCACGTCACTTCCGGTGACACGCCCACCCCAGTTCTCGGATATCGAGTATATCAATTCAAGAAGCGGAAAAGTTGCTTTATGTGTCAGCGAATCATCGCCCTAACGTGATTAGCCTCACCCCCAAGCTGCTTTTCCCTATGGTTCACGAATCCTCGTTTTGCACTGGAGGGCGCGAACAGGACGGCGGCATTCCGTATGCCGCGGAGGTAATGCCCCTTCCACAAACAATTACATTGCACCCGGAGTTGTAACAGTTGAATAGTACCCTTGTTTGGTTTTTCCTATTCAAATATTAGATTAACGACAAGTTGTGGTGTATGAGGCCCGTATATCTCCACTTGTGTCTGAAGCGAGCACCGAAAAGAGAATAGATATTCTACAAACAAAACATAAAATAGCTGAGTAAAAGTGAGGATTTTAAGGGTCGACGAGAAGCCGAACGAAGAGCTGGGCTCCTTGTATAGTGGCGAATAGCAGCTGCTGAACTAGACGTGGGGAAGGCGAGGGGTTTCTGACAAGACGACTTCAAGTGGGCCCAATACCCGCATTGCCGAAGCCAAGAGGAAGACCCCTAAGAGGCTTTACCTATCTTTTATAGCGTGCTCCTGGTCCTCTCGACCTCCGGCGGAAACTTCCCTCGCGATCACTTCCTAGTGATCATCTAGTGATTCCGTACCATCCTGTCCGCAGCAAGTCCCAACGAGGCGTCCTTGGGGACATATCCCGGTTTCGTCACAGGACCCATCATTTTTCGATGGGTCCTATGACGCGACCATGCGAAACGGTCACTGCCGTCGATTCTCCGCGTCGGCATCTAAGTGAGGGGAAGAAGTCTCGACTAGGGGATATATCCCCTGCCGGCAGAGACGCAAAGGGTCGACGGCAGTGACCGTTTCGCATGGTCGCGTCATAGGACCCATCGAAAAATGATGGGTCCTGTGACGAAACCGGGATATATCCCCAAGGTTGAGGATATATCCCCAACCTCGGGGTGAAGGGATGGGTCCCCTCGTTGGGGCTTGCTGCACCCGGCCCCCACAAAATCCAATTTTGAATTCAGTATTGATCTGAAGTCCTCGCATGAATAGCTCTTCATCTGCTACTGATTTAGCGTGCTAGGGACGAGATGAGGTACATCAACGACGCGTCATGTGGTCTTCGAGCAGATGATATGGACGAGGAGGAGGAGGACAGCGGAGATGATCACTAATTTTCGATTTGATCTGTAAATTATGTTGGTCGTGGTGCAGTTAACGCATTTTTGCAGACACAAGTAAATATCCGTGTGTGTGGTTCAAATGACGATACTACTTATTGTTTTCTTCTGTTGTTTTCTTTTACTCCATCTTGTATTCTGGTAATTTAGTTTTCGCTAAATGAAGTATTTCTGTTCCAGTATCGCCTATCGTTTTGGAATGGTACTTTGGAGTGTTATTACAATACCATCGTCACTTCAAACGGTACGTTGGGGTTTTGCCAGCATCCCGTTTAAGTGTTTACAAAACAGTTCGGAGTTGCAAATTACCAAGTAGGATCTATCTGCCGTTTTCACGGCATATAAACTGTTGGACGGCTCTTCATGCCGAAATGGATCGACCAAAGCTTCTCAGACGTAATAAGTAGGTGTCTGAAGCTTAACATTAATATTGACAGGGTGAAAAACGGTCGAGAATGTAATTGACAGAGCATTGTATTGTCCTGGATGGGATCTGATGGAGTGGGCGAGTGAGAGGCAAAGCTGCGCAGCTTTCACTCACTCCTCACCATCACTTACTTTGAAGTGTTTTACTAGGTTAGAAATAATGATACTTTACAGAGATCTAGCACTTTTAAGAACCACGTTTAGTTTTTGGGGTAAATTTAGATGAGAGGAAGGTTGACTAATCCTCGGGATCATGTGTCGCTCAACCCGAGAGACGTGACCACTGTCGGCGCATCAGTGAATTTACGCTGAAGTAGGGCGCGAGCATTTGTTCAATAGCTGGAGAAAGTACTTACTATTTGTGCCCGTTTCTTTGCGTTCTTAGGTAGGGTCATAATTTGCGGTTCGCTTTCTGAAGAAGGTACGTATCGATCATGCGATCGCACGATTACATAGTTGATACGAGTCCATGGCAGGGTCAGCCATATGTTGGAACAACCAACGGGGGGTCGTACTTGGTTTAGGTTTAAGGGGGTCGTACTCTCTCGGTGGCCGGCAGTGGGATTCTTGGTAATATCGGATAATAGCCAGCACGTTACGTTTTCGTAAGATGATTGATGCTATAGCATCTATAAACCACGCTTCCTCTAAATGAGCTTTCAAACGAATCAGCGAATCAGAAGCGCGCGCCGAGGCGTGGCGCACACCAAGGCAGGGTATGCCACTGCACGCGCATGCTCGAAGCTTTCTAACACATCCTATGTTCAACAAGAAATTGCTTTCCTGGAGGTTACGGCCAGTGAAACTACCAAAAAAACCGCACGAAGCGGGGGCGGGGACGTTTCGCCAAAAAAAATTCCAAAAAGTACCCAAAGAGGAGGCGCTATGTGCCGGGGGGGGGGGGGGCAGTCACCGCGCGCGGCTGTGCGGCAACAGGAAATTCGAACATTCCAGCTTCTCACGCATGTCATGTGACTGCCCTCACCCCCAACCCCCCTGAATTGGCTACACTCCCCCTGGCTCACGAATTTCCTGTTGCCGCAAGCGCGCGCGGCGACTGCCCCCCCCCCCGAGCACATTGCGCCAAAGATAGGTTGAGGGCCGAGGGTCGGTCCTATCGCTTGTTGCGTTTTCAAAAATTTTTACGATCCCCCTCCTCCAAGGTGAACTTGATACGACCCCCTTTTCAACACCTCGACCCACCATCATCCTACCCCATTTTCTAGGAGCCGTATGTACGCACGGCGAATTTCTCTCCCATGCGCTCCCAACTCACCCAGCCTACTACTCGTGAAAACTCCACCTTCACCACAAACTCACATGTAATTTCACGCGACTGAAGCGGATACGACCCCCCCCCCCCCCGTCTAAACTCGTAACCAATCCCCCCTAGTAACCGGGTTGACACTGGTGGACCCTCGTCCATGGAGGAACTCCAGATCCGCTCATGATCAACGGTGGACCCGAGATTCCTGCAGCGAAAATTGTATCGGTCCTAGTGAACCACACCGGGTGTGACAGGAAGCGACTTTTTAGCTTTTCGCAGCGCAAAACATTGTTCGTTGCGGGAATCTCGGGTCCACTGATGATTCGCTGCGGAACTCGGGTCACTGATGATCAGCGGTGGACCTGAGACCCCGCAGCGAAATGTTTCGCGCTGCGAAACGCGAAAAAGCCGCTTTCTGTCCTAGTGAACCACACCCAATACTCTGAGTCTATTTCAACCTCGAACTGCAATGTATTACCAAGTCAGAGTCCATTTCAATAGAAGGGGCATGGTGGTGCAGTGCACCTGCGCGCTCAAAACATGATAAACACTTGCTGGGTATCCAAACCGACGGACTCCAAGCCTCGAAGTGAAGGAGTCGGGTGCGTTTACTACGTTTGTACCATCCTGAAAACACAAGGAACATCTATAGTGCACAAAATCTAGAAAACTGGCAGCACCAGCACTACGTAAAACCCTAGTTTGTTATTAGAATCGCGACAATTCTTTTCAGTGAAACGTTTTACTAAGGAGGTTATCGCGAGCTCCGTGATCACGATACGACCTCATTGCGAATGCTTAAGTGGCCTCTTTACTGTGCCCTCCCCTCAAAGATCAGATTGCGCGTCACGTTAGCCTAGTCTGGAGGAGGAAGAGCCTAGCTGGGTGATCTATTCACCGTGCGGTAAACGGTGGAGCGGCCTTTCCTCCTTGCTTAGGCCTAACCATAGGTGCTGTCTCAAGGGCTGACGTCCAGGTCCAGAAAATTGGCACGCAATCACACCATACATGTCTGCTCCAGCCTCGAACTTTAACGAAGGGTAAAGCATTCGACGAATTAAAACCTCATACCAAGGCCCCTAGGAGCGCGTAAGTATGAACAATTTGAAAGTGACACTCTCCCGGGAGCAGTTTATGCATCGCAATGCCCCATTCATTGGAATAGATTACCTTTTTTCTCTATTCTGGTCTATTCCCTCTTCTGCTTCTTCTTTCTCGACTCACTTAGTCTGTTTTCAGATTAGTAATTAACAGGAATTAATTTTTATCTGTTTTTGATTTTTTTGGCTTATTGCAATTTTGACCATATACGACGACAGGAAAATCATCAAAAGAATGTTGAGTTATGAGCATAAGGTTGCTTTCATAATCTGCGCCGTCCGCACGGCTTGTGCGGACGGTGTACGCGGATGGCGCAGACTCTGAAAGCAGCCTAACTCTGCGTTCGGCCGGGTCTCAGACTCTGATCTGGTCAAAGTCCGGAATGACGCAGCGTCTTGCGCATAACTCACTGTTCTTCAAACCATGTCCATATTTGAATGTTTCGATCTTCAGAGCAATATCAACCCATCAAACACATGAAGGAAATGGATGAACCACATGCCTAAATATTGCCTAAACTTTTCGCAGACGTGGACCATGTCTCTGTCCTAGGGTCGGGCCATAATTATAACTCGAATGTGGAACAGATGTATATCGATTGTGCGGTCGCGCGATCGCACAATTTACCCTTCATACCTACTCCACACTCGAAGTGCGAGACGAAGTGTATGACGCGACCCTCGCCGCATTTAACTAAGGTGGCATCCTAATGCGTGAGGGACTCACATAATACCATGTTTAGCCGCTGTCCACGATGCACAACCAATGTAAGTTGCGATAGGAGGAAAACGGTGCTAACTTAGTTGGGGGGGGGGGGCACGCGGCGGCGCGGCAGTCTGCTCACCTGGGCTCTCTCGAGCGAGACAGTGTAAACTCGAACATTCCAGCTTTTCACGCATGTCAAGTGACTGCCCCACCCCCCACCCCCTAGACTGCCTACACTCCCCCTGGCCCACGGATTTCCGAACATGCCAGGCGAGCAGACTGCCGCGCCGCCGCGTGGCCCCCCCCAACTAAGTTAGCACCGAAACTAGTTTGACCCGATTTGGATTCAAAAATTAAACAAGGGATCTTTGCGTTTTGGAGGCCTCTTCCTCTTTTGCCGCTAAATCTACCGCCTTCAATTCGACACATTGGAAGCCGCACACATTTTACGTTTTGCTGCCGCGTGGAACTTCAGCAAATTCCACAAAAACGTTTCTGTAAATTGCAAAGCAGAACTTGTTGCATATTCAGGAGAAACTCCGAACAAAACGGGAGAAAGGAAGAGAAAGGCTCATTGCTTGTTTCCCAAAACAGCTTGCAAAAGTCAATGCTATACCTCCAAATTTCAAATGAAGTTGCGCCAAAGGGGATGGGAATCGTGTCTGGACCGCTATCAAAAGGTGTGGGGTCTACAGACGCGGCACGATGCTTATTGCAATATAATCTGCTGTGGTTTTCATTACACAGCTTGGAGAGAAGTATGCAGCAGTTGTACCATTTAGTAATAATCGAGGGATTGGTTTGAAACATGGGTGTGTTTTTGATGTTTCAAATCTTCTTCATCTCCTTGACCTTTACCTCGCACCGTAGCAGGATTCGAGTTCAGATTCCTATCTTCACCCATTAAACACTCCACCACCTACATATTCTACAGTGATGCAGTCTAAAATACTCATTAGTTCTGGATGTTTCCTTAGAAGATCATTAAGATAGAATAGTATGGTGCAGATGAATTCGCTGTTGATGTTCCCACGTTGGCATCGTTGTAAAATGTTAGGGTTCGTTGGATGAGTGAAGTGCGAAAGGGTGGATAGAGTCATACCAGAGAAATACGGTGCGGTTCAGTCTTCGCTGGGGTTTTCTCGCCATGTGT